TTGTCTCTTATAAACAACTAGGATGTGGATGATGCCACATTGTCCCGCCTGGAGCTGGAAAGGAAGATTGAGTCTCTGATGGATGAGATTGAATTCCTTAAGAAGCTCCATGATGAAGTAAGTGATGCTACCTCCTGTGCACTTCACTGTTATTGTGTAAATGCAAAAGTCATTTCTTTCAGGAGTCACCTATCACAATATGCTATGGAGAACACACTCTTTTTAAACACTAAAGGCATGTCAGTTCAGATACACTTTTAAAATGTGTGATTTTCTGTACCAGGAGCTTGTCTGCGAAAGCAGGAAGTAATATCGGCAAGGCAAGCAGTAGTTTGAGATGGTGGAGAAAATGTGTGAGTGTCATCAGCATATACAGTGGCTTCAAGAAGTAATCAGACCCCTCCACATTCTGCACACTTTGTTGTGTTGTAAACTAACTGAACCCTGTAGGAGATCAGAAATGGTGGTGAAATGCAGAGGGCTAAGTTGCATCATTACACCTAAATAAATGTTTCTGTTTAAGCACAGTTTTGCCAAGTTTTTGCTTTGAGCATTTTGAGTTTCTGACAGTTTCTCTTATGCTTTTTGTCCATTTGCATCCATTTCTTTATTATCAGGAAATCCAGGACGTACAAGTGAGTGTCCAGACCCAGCAGCTGAAGATGGAGGTGGACAGCAGCGCAAGACCCGATTTAACTGGTGCCCTGAGGGACATCAGGGCTCAATATGAGAACATCGCCTTAAAGAACATGCAGGAATCTGAGGACTGGTACAAGTCCAAGGTAGGCAAAGAGACAAACAGAGTAATGTAATCAGACAAGAACACACAAACACATATTCATTCTTGTGTGCTTTATCTTTCGTTCCTACAGTTTGCCGATTTGACTGAGTCTGCAAAGCGCAACACTGATGCTCTGAGGCAGGCCAAGCAGGAGGCCAATGAGTCCAGGAGGCAGATTCAGTCTCTCAACTGTGAAATTGATGCAATGAAGAATACGGTGAGGCCAAGTACCACCTGTTATTTTTATATATTCATCTATTATGCAGTATTCCCTCTGAGAAAACTATTTCACATGTTACTGTGCTGTATGTGCTATTGTGGCTTTCAGAATGAAGCTCTGCTGAGGCAGATGCGTGAAATGGAGGACCAGTTTGGCAATGAGATTGGAAACTACCAGGACAATGTGGGCAGACTGGAGGACGAGATCCGCCATCTGAAGGACGAGATGGCTCGCCACCTTCGGGAGTACCAGGACCTCCTCAATGTTAAAATGGCTCTGGACATTGAGATTGCCACTTACCGTAAACTGCTGGAGGGCGAGGAGAGCAGGTGAGGCAGAACATTGTGTGTCTCAGGTCCAGGTTTTTCCTGGAAATTTTGAATTATCAAGTTAGATTTCCCCCTTTTCATTTATATCATACAAAATGTGATAAAATAGAGTTCATTCATCAGCCCTCTCTGTGTGGAGTTCAAGTTATTTTCCTCTAGATGACCCAGTTTTGTGTCTAATTAAAAACAAAACATGCATGACAGGTGGATTGGAGACTAAAGTGCTCGTAGATGTAAATGTGAGTATCCTATTTCATAACAGGTTATAAATAACACCAACATTTCATATTCCTGTTTAGGATTACTGTCCCCATCTTAAATATCGGCATGAGCAATCACCTTGGAGAGCGAGGTAAGCTATTTTTTTTTTTCTTTTTTCTCAGATCAAATATAAGATGATGATGAGCTCCATTTTACTTTTCAATTACATGTTAAATCAATGTCCACTAACAACTGTTGATGTGATTGATAAGTGATGACTCAACTTTTAGAGTGAATCTTAAGAACTGTATCTAAATGTAAAAATCCTTAATCTGACTTTTCATAGACTATGAACACACTCAAGACACCGTGAGCAAGAGGACTGTGGTGATAAAGACAGTTGAGACTAGAGATGGAGAGGTACAATGATTTATACAAAAATGACAAGACATAATGCAAAAATAACTAGTTTGATATTATTTGCATTATGGAAATTGTAAGGAACATAAGAGCTAAAGTTACTTACAGATATGAAAATGAATATGAACTTATCTGACTGTTTCTGTTCCATTAGGTGGTGAAGGAATCCAGGAGGGAGACGGAGAGAGATTCAAGCCGCACTGATAGAACCGACAAGGACGACAAGGACGAGTAAAGGAAAACAGATTAGAAAATGTAAAGGCCAGTGCCATGGTAGAAAAAAAAACATGAAAAAAGAGAGAAAAAAAAAAAAAAAAAAAAAAGACAAACTTATCTATATAGCCCTCATTCCCATTAGTTATGTGTTTATCTGTCTAGCAAAGAGTCTCTCAGTATTGGTGCAATGATGAATGAAGCCCTTTAGACAGTGTCACTTTGGTGCTATTCAAGCCACCCAACTTTAGCTTAACACATGTGTCATCTGTAGGGCTAGGCAAAACCACTTTATTAACGTACCACCTGAGGCCTTGATTTACAGTGCAATCCCATGGAATCCTTAGACGACCACACATTTGTAGCAGAGTATTAAACTACAGGCTTAAATAGCTAGTTTAAATGAAATGCAGGATTCTAGAAGTTTGTGTCGTAGATATGACTTACTAACAAACTTGCAGACACTGCCCTTTGGTCAACACACCTTAAAAGACAGACTGAGAATACATTAACATGTTTGCATTTGTTTTAGAAGCTTTGCTATCCTCTTATTGTGCAAACGACCAAGTCACCTAAGACATGGATCATTAATAAACATGTAACACACAGGAAATGCTGACAGTGAAAATATGACACCAACTGAAAAGGCTTGTGCTGAATGTGCTTCGCAATGCTGTGTGTATCCGGCACGACTGAAGAATGAATATGTAAGTGCAAATAAAGTCAATTGGAGGTAATCTGTGTTGTTTTGTCTGTCCACGTGACTACTTCTGAATTGACAACAATTGCTGTTGTCTTCAATAGTGAGCTACTTTTTCCAGTGGTTTGTTCCATACAAGCCAAAGTCAACATAACCTGCACTTTTGTCCAAGAGAGCACCCTGTGCTTGTGAGGAGATTGTAGTACCAAGTTACTCTTAGTGACACTCCAGATACTGGGTGTGTTCCCCCTGCACAGGCTTGTGCACATACTATTTCTTAGAATTATTTTGAATCATGTATTTAAAGCATGAATTGTCAGTCACATACAATTTCGCGATGGTTCATTCATAAAGCTGTTTTAAAGTTAGACAGCTGTAAAGTGGTGTTTATGGTCCAAAAACTTTAAACAGGACCTTAAAAAATATATACTTTACCTTCACGTTGCTTCTCTTATCTTTCACCCAAGGCCTGCCTGATTTCTTAAAATCTGGTTGTTCAACGCACTGCCCAAAAGTTCTTCACCTTCAGCAGTTCTCTCTTTTCCACGCTCATGCACCACCTGTTACTTATCAGGGGAATGACTTCTGCTTAAGGTGGCATCACCAGAGGCAGACGCTCTACCTGGATTAAAAATTGATTGTTGATTCACGCCCCCCTCCCTCCCCATAAATCTAATTAGAAAAACGTAAAGTGTCGCACAATCAAAATATCAAGATTAGGAAAAAGAGACAGTCCAAACAAACTACACTGAACAATTACAGTAGTAGGACTTTTTTCTTCCTAACACCTCTTTCTGATGCCCAGAGTGAAACCTCTCAGGCGACACCTTACCTCAAACTGCAGCTAAATTCCACTGACTTCGCTGAAGTCTGGTACACCTAGTCGTCAAACATGGCCTCGGTCCCAATCTCAACCCTGTTCATCTGAACCTAACACACTCATGTCATCGAAAAAGTTTCTTCTATCGATACACCGCCCGGCAAGGTGTTGCCTGAAATGCAAAACTGAGGGTAAAAACGAGGGGATGTGACGACATTCTACGTCCGCTGTATTGGCGCGAGACTTGTCCAAAACTATCGTTGTACTGACGAGAAAGGACCAAACGCTATACACGACCGCCTGCTGAACACGGCACCTGTAGAATAACAACATTTAAACTGTCTGGTAACCTACTATGTGTTGTTTTTCTTTCTCTAAAACAAGGCAGAAGTCACAGCGCGGTCAGGCGGCTGGAAACAGAAGCTAACGTTAACTAATTGCTACATAACATTAGCGAGCGGAGCTATTGCTAATATAAACTGATATAACATAAACATCGTATCTTATATTATTGGACTATTATTATTGATGCAGTTATGTGTACTTCTCTCTGGCGTTGTAGCTGGCTAAAGAGAAGCTTATTTTAACTACTTTATATCCCGCTGGAGTCAGTAAAGTCCTATGATAATATATCATACATCATTACTCATTGATTATACCTAGTATTATTAATCTGAATCTGCAAACTAACCAGAGGAGTAAAAGGAGTAATGTTTGCCTATGAAATGTGGTGTAATAGAAGTAGAAACTTACAGAAAATTGGAATACTGAGGTAAAGTGCGTTTACCTAAAAAATGCACAGTAGTTGAGGAAATGTACTTAGTTACTCTCCAACACTGTTCACAGGTAACATTAAGGAAGTCTTCACGTTTCCACTGGGACTTCACGTAACAGTTAAATGTCTAAACAAATGTAGGTAAGCTGTAGACTACTATACACCAAACTCATTTAAAATACTCAAACTTAACAAAGTCAACAAACCTAAGCTGAACAGAACTGAGGATAAGTAACGAAAAGTTTGAGATTGCCTCTACTAGGTGTCAGTAAATGACGCGCCAGGGTAAGATGCTTTAACTGCTTACTTACATGTCTTGTTCACCATGTACATTCACTCCTATTAGAAAATATTAATTAGATTCTCCTTGAACAACACACAGAAAACTGAAGTTTGTAGTGCAGACAGTTTTTTTGTGATGCTCTCTTGACGTTCAGATGGAATAGCCTGCTCATCTTTGTCTGAGAAGTAATGTAGTGCCATAAATTTGTGTGTGTCCTTCTTACCATTTCCCTCTTTTTATATCCTAGTGTGTGGCAGATTAGCCTTCATGCTGGCTGATCGTGAATGGACTTACTCAGGATGAATTGTGAACTTCTCGCAACTTGCAGTGCTCTTGGCTATCTGGAGGGAGACACCTATCACAAGGAAATAGATTGTTTGGGTGAGTGGTTTTCAAGTGGTAAAAATGTTTAGATATAATGAATAAGTTATTTATGTTGTTTATTTATGCATTTGTATCTTTTAACTGTGTCCTGTCTCTGCATTGCAGAGAGTGTGAAAGACTTGATCAGGTATTTACGCCATGAAGATGACACCCGCGATGTCCGTCAGCAGCTGGGTGCAGGCCAGATTGTACAGAATGACCTTCTACCTATTATCATTCAACATGGAGAAGATAAAGGCTTATTTGATGCCTGCATCAGGTAAAAATCCTCATAATACAGTCGTATTGGCTGCATTATTGATACACCAATGCTAGTTTTGCAATACATTATTGTTACACTGGCAAGAAATATTGTTTTAGTAAATATATTGTCATTAGATTTACATAGAAATTTGCTATTTTTCTTTTTCATTTTTGTGTTGAAGTTGTAGAAGTTGGTAAATGACAAAAATGTTGCTCATATGACTCTGATATCTGCTTTTTCTCAGGCTCATGGTCAATCTCACCCAGCCTGCCATGCTCTGCTTTGGTAAGGTCCCTGATGACCCAGTGTTTAGACATCACTTTTTGCAAGTGACATCTCATTTACAAGCCTATAAAGAGGTATTGTCTCCTTTAATTGTAAAACCACAATTCATTTTACATGTTTTAATGTATGATAATGTTGGTACAGTGAACATTGTGGAGTTGGATTGTTTTTAGCATGAAAATGTTTTGAAATGAAATGATTATTTATCTGTGTGTCTTTTTATTTCCAGGCATTTGCCAGTGAAAAGGTGTTTGGCATTTTAAGTGAGACATTGTATAACCTTCTGCAACTGGTGAGTGTTTTACTGATAAAGATCTTTGCCTCCATCCTTACCTGTTTGTTAGATGATATCAGTAAAATGGTTTCTGTTCCTACCTATCTCTACCTACTTACCTTCATCTCTTTCAGGACTGGGAGCAGAGACAGGAGGAAGATAACCTGCTAATAGAGAGGATCCTGCTGCTGGTCAGGAATGTACTTCATGTACCTGCAGACCCCTGTGAAGAGAAGGTCTGACTTTGACATGAATGCCAATGTAAAATTTATTGTCAGAAAGACAAGCCCTTTCATTTATCTTTCATCTGAGATAGATGTTATTCCAATCTCTGTCTCTCCCTCTTACTGTAGAAAGTGGATGATGATGCCAGCATCCATGACAGGCTGCTGTGGGCCATTCACATGAGCGGTTTTGATGACCTGGTCAAGTTCCTGGCGTCGGCCCAGAGTGAGCAGCAGTGGAGTATGCACGTGTTGGAAATTATCTCCCTCATGTTCAGAGATCAGGTTAGATTGAATAATGTATTAGAGGCACACACTGAGATTGTCAGCTGTTTTCTGTGTTTGACCTCTTCTTCTTTTCCCTACAGACGCCAGAGGCTTTGGTGAGCGCTGGTCAGGCTCGTTCAGCAGAGGAGAAGCAAAGAGACTCTCAGGAGCTGGAGGCACTGAGGCAGAGGGAGCAGGCAGCGAAACGTTCTCGCACATTACAAAGAGGAACCAGGTGACTATACAAGCTGATATTCTTCAGTGTCAAGGTTACAAGATGGCACAGTGGATGTAAAAGATTGTTGTTCACCAGCGCTTTAAATGCTCAATTATTCTGCAAACCAGGGGTAATAGGTATGCCTACACGACCCAATCAGTCAGTGGGAAGGGAAGCTCTTACAGCACTCAAACCCAAATGACACCCTAGATCAGTAACATGAGTAATCCGCTGCATTTACTTGCACTCTTTTTTTGATATAGAACTCTTCCATGTTAGTTACAGAAATCTTATGTTTGTAATCCTTCTTTTACAGCATGGCAGGTGAAATACTCCTCAGTCATTATAAAGCTTGTTAGAAGTACTTGAGTGTGACAAATACCGGTAGACAGAAAAAAAAATATATGTGTATATTCTATTCTGTTTCACAGTTGATGTTTTTCTTTCAGGCACTCTCGCTTCGGAGGGTCGTATGTAGTTCAAGGTCTCAAGTCAATCGGAGACAACGATGTGATCTATCACAGAAATCTTCATAATGTAAGTAGTGCAACTCCAGTCATCTGTAATATGAACTTGATCTAACTTGATCTGATCATATGACCTTAAAAAAAAATTTTTTAATGCAAGTGTCACCTTTTTTTTTTTCTAGTTCAAAAATTACACTCATGACACAGGCAAAACAGTGAGACGTGTTCCCAAGAGGAACCGACAGGCCAAGGAATGTAAGGACAAACGCCGTTCAGCCTTAAATGTGCGACTCTTCCTGCGAGAGTTTTGTTTGGACTTCTTGGAGAACTGCTACAATCATCTCATGTACCTGGTCAAGGTAAGTCACTGTAATGTGGATTACTTATTGTATAGTAAATACTTTTTGTAGCAAATGGCACACAGCAATAACATGCTACTCACACACAAGCCTTGTTGGAGTTCTCGCATGATTTTAACTGTATACATGTTTGCCTGAAAGTCTTGGATAGATCTATTTCTAAATCTGTCTCTGACATTGTATCTGCTTTTTTTTGTACAATGTCGTTGTGTTGTCTACAGGAAAGTCTGATTCGAGAGCATACTCAGGAACATGATGAAAGCTATTACCTCTGGGCGCTCAGCTTTTTCATGGCCTTCAACCGTGGCAACGGTTTCCGTGCTGACTTAGTTTCTGAGACCATGTCCATCCGTGCTTTTCATTTCATTGAGCGCAACATCACCAACTACTACGAGATGATGCTTACTGACCGCAAAGAGGCAACGTCCTGGTCCCGCAGGTAAGAAGATCATTCAGAAGCAGGTTTTAAGAAAAATGTCAAGTCGATGAATTTGCCCCAGGCTGATGGCATTTGTTTTTCTCTAGGATGCACTTGGCTCTAAAGGCATATCAAGAGCTTCTGCTCACTGTGAATGAGATGGACCGCTCACAGGACGAAAGCATCCGACAGAGTTGTAACGTTATTAAAAGTAAGATGCTGGGAAGCTCTAGTTCAGATAGAGTGGTCTTAATGTTGTTTTAAAATGTGAAATATACTATACTCATAATAGTCAATTTAGATTCTTGTTCTACTTTATCTGAAATATCAGAACGGGTTTGTGTCATCTATTTATTGTCACCTTCTAGGCAACATATTCTACCTGATGGAATACAGGGAGATTTTCCTGACGTTGCTGCGGAAGTTTGACGAAACCAGGCAGCCTCACTCTTACCTCAAAGACTTGGTGGAGTCAACTCATCTCTTCTTGCGCATGTTAGAACGCTTCTGCAAAGGTCGCAAAAACTTGATGGTTCAGGTAAGCTTTTCTAATAAATTTGTAGTGCGTGTGTAAATGTTTGCCATTAGTACCTGCTCAAAATATTAACATCTAGCTCTGGTTATTCTGCAGAGGAAGAAGGTGAGACGGAAGAAGTCTCGAGGTGAAAAAAATCCACCATCTGTAGAAACTAGTCCCGAAGCCCTGGCGGAGACCTGGAAGATTGTGGAGGAAGAAATGAAGACTTCAGGGTTTCAGGTCAGTGTGAGAATCAACCTCAAGGGGGAGCAGAGAGCACGTATCAGATACTACTCAAGAGAATGTCATATCAAAGAGTTCTTCTAAATTTTGTTTAATAAGGACACTCATAAAGTATCCCAAAAACATATCAGTCCGACATTAATGAATTGATTGAAAAGGGTCAAATTTACCAACACTAAACGCCACTTGTCCGTCTTCTTTGTGCAGTTGTCAGAGTCTTTAACTGAAAGTATTGTGCCATTCGATGCCACATCTGAAACTCCTCTTGAGGAGCAGCGGACTGAGGCTATGGTGCGAGTGCAGGATGCCCTGCTGGCTCGACTGGGACCAGAAGCACTGGGACTGCTGCGTGCTGCCAGGTCAGTGAGACTCAACATTATTTTCACTATCAGTTAATCTTTATTTTTTTATTTATTTTTATTGATTTTGTTCTTGTATCATCTTGAGATGACTTGTTTTGTCCGACCAACACTCCAAACCATTCATTTGGTTTTAAAATAACACAAAACTCAAAAAGCAGGAAATCTTAACATTTGTGAAACTGGAACCAGGAAATATTGACCAACCATAACAACTGATCCATTTTCAGAATTGTTGCGGATTAATTCTCTCAGAGTGTCTAATTGATTATCAGTTTCTCCTGTAATCCCATCAGCCCCTGAAACTAAACACATGTCTACATCTTTCTTTTTGTTGTTCTCAGGGAGGTGTGGCCAGAGGGAGATGTGTTTGGTTCAGCTGATGTGGAACCTGAAGAGGAACTGGAACTCCTCAAGCAGATCCTGCACGCCAACCTGCCAAGTATGTTTTAAAAATTATCCTAGTGACCCTTTTCACTAGGACTGCATTCAGTGATTATTTTGAGTATTGATTAATCTGCCAGTTGTTTTCTGTCAGAATAGTTGGTGATTAATGTTCTTTTGATCAACTACTTGATTAATTGACTAATTGTTGTGGCTCTGCTATATATACTGTACCACTGCATATTTATGACATTGAAACCTTACATTTTAATTTCAGGGTCCTCTCCTCCTGAGCCTGTGGTTGAGGAGGATGATGATGGATTAGAGTTAGAAGAAGAAGAGTTGGAGTCTGTCCAGGTTTCTGAAACGGAGTTCAACTTCCTAGACTTTGTCAAGAGGTGAGGAAAACAATTATAGTAACCTTCAGTACATCCAGTCTGAAGGCAGTAGCCTCTTCCGCATCTTCAAACATTTTGTGACCTTTCCCTTTTCTTACCCCTCACAGGTTTGCCAGCCCCAATATTGTGCATCCCTACCTCCTCCTATTAAAAACATACTCAAAAAACACACCTCACACAAACCATTGTATCGCTCGAATGCTGCACCGCCTGGCTGTCGACCTCAAAATGGATGCCTTGCTTTTCCAGCTGTCAGTCTTCAACCTTTTCAACAAAATCCTGAGTGACCCCGCTGCAGCTGCTTACAGGGTACAGTAATAACACGAGAGAAAATAAAGGTTTAGTGTGGTCAAGCAAGCTTTTGGTGACATGAAGTCTACTGTAGATTAGACACAAGAGCTAACTTTTCATACTCTCCTTCACAGGAACTAGTGACGTTTGCCAAGTATGTGCTGAACCGTTTCTTTTCACTGGCAGCACAAAACAACAAGGCATATGTTGAACTGCTGTTCTGGAAAAATGTGGGAGCTGTACGTGAGATGACAGAGGGCTACAGCAAAGAAGGGTTGGTTTCTCTGTGTCTGTGTCTCTGTGTTAAATTTACCATTGTTATCAAGTTATAGGTAAAAGATGCATTTTAATAAACATGTATTACAAAGTAGCAAGTCTTTGGTTCTGTTGTTTTAAATATTGTCTCTCGTCAATAATATGTCAGAGAGGGAAAGAAACCAGCATGGACCGAAGAGGAGGAGGAGGAGTTGCGCAAGCTCTATGAGGAGCACCGCAATTCTGAAGGTTTAATTCCTTTTTGTTTGTTTTTTGCGCATCTTTTCTGTCTGTCGTGTTAAATTATATGCTCTAGTTGCGTACTATGTACTTGAGTAAATACTCTGTTACTGACTGTTGATTCTTATGCTTAGTGCCAGATATAGTGGAGACTTTGCTGCCATTACTAAGCAACAGCACCCGCACTCGGCGCCATGTAGTTACACAGCTGGTGCATATGGGTCTGGTGGACAACGCTAAGGAACTGAAGAAACAGAAGTACGTACTAATAGTAAATGTAGTATGTTTGTCACGTTCTTGGGAACGTGATATTTCAGTGAAGCCTTGAGGGAATCACTTGGAATCACAGATGTCTGGACTCAATGATGAGCTGATTAGATTTTGTTGGTCAAAGGTCACTGTGATCTCACAAGACACATTTTTGGCCATAACTCACAAATTTATACGCTAGTTATTACACAATTTAACACAAATGTCTGATAGGATAAAAAAAAATGAAGTGATGACATTTTATATCCAAATGGTCAAAGGTCAGCTTCACTGTGACATCATAATGTTCTGCAAAAACACTTCTGGCCAGTATTCAACGCTCTAACTCACGAAGGGCCAGTGGCATGCAACTGCAAGGCAGTAATTCTAGTGTTGTTGTTTTTTTTGTTTTGTTTTTTTGTTTTTCAAAGGAAAGGTACCGGGATTGTACTTTGGAAGGAGGAGCAAGAGCAGGAGCTGCAGATGCTGTTTGAGGAGTACAGAGATTCTGACGGTACCAGACTCATTTTGTAGTGCATGAGAAAATGTAGTGGCTGTTTCACTATGCCTCTGTCCTCAGTTTCAGGGATACTTCATGGTTTGTGTGGTGACTGTCTTTATTTGATGAAAAATAATTGTACTCTTACAGATGTGCTGGGTAATATCCTGAAGAAGCTCACAGCCAAGCGGTCCCGTGCACGTGTGGTGGACAAGTTGCTCAGCATGGGCATGGTGTCTGAGAGAAGAGAGCTTTATAAGAAGAGAAGTCGTAAGGCTCAAGGGAAGAGCGCTGGAAAAGGAATGGTAAAGTTACTGTAGATGTACAGCACATAAGTCTTTTTAAAATAGACTATATTATATATATTCTATATATACTATAGAATAGAAGGTGCTTTTGAATGTGATCAAAATATAATATTCCTATTTATAAAGAATATTGAAAGATGTGGTGTTTCTACATGAGCTGTAATATATTTTCTGCCACAGACTGAAGAAGAGTTCCTAGCAGGACTAACACAAGGTTCCCCAGATGATTCCATGGACAGAGATGATGAAGAGGATGGAGAGGATGAGTCCGAAGAGAGTGATGAAGAGGAAGACGAAGAGCACGAGAGGGAAGAATCGCAAAAAGGTGTAAGGAGGAGCCAAAGCATGAACTCCACAGTGGAGAGGAGAGCTGATGTTGGCACCATGGTGAATGCTCTGCAACAGGAAGGTGCGACAAAGGCCAAAATACTTGCTGTAGTTTTTAGTAGTTTCAGTTTTTACAGTTTGTGCTCTGTGTTTTCTCCTGCTCTCCACTATTATTTAAGTTAAAACTGGCAGAATGTAAAATATTTGATATGATGGATTACATTTATTTTTCAAGGTAATGCTATAGCCTTGCTGAATGCTAGAGTTTTATTTATTATTTTGTTATGAACTTTCTTAGACAGCAGGAATGAAATACAAGTTTCATGTTGTTGTTGTTGTTATTATATTATTTAAAACAGGCATGTCTGGACCCCTGTTGTGGCTGCAGAATTGTCTCAACAGAACGGCAAATGACCGTGAAGAAGATGGTAAGTGCTACTGTCTAAAACCCTCAATAGTATTCATAGCAAACTGCTTTGCACTCAGTTTTATTTCTTAATTGAAAGTTGTTTTAGTTCTTGCGGGAGTGATGTGAGTAAATGAAATCGTTGTGGTCCATTCCCACAGGTTTGTCCCAGCCTGTGCCACTGGTCCCCCTGACAGAGGCAAATGAAGACGCCATGGACAACAAGAGCTTCCAGAGGCTGTTACGCAAACTGGGGATGCGAGCACCTGCAAATGAACAGGTGTGTGTGTGGGTTTTTTTCCCCATGATATTTCCCTACCAAATCAGTCATTTCACGTCACTTCCTTTGATCTGCACTTTTTTTTCTCTAAGACAGTTTTGTTGTTTCAGTGTTTGATTGCAAAATAAACTTTAAATAAAGTTGTTGTTGACTGTTTGTTAATCAGGAGTCTTTCTGGAGAATCCCAGCAAAGATCAGCGCATCCCAACTCCGGAGTGCAGCTGCAGCTCTTAGTCCGAGAGAGGATGAACCTAAAGGTGGCGAGGAGCAAGACGGGCCCAGGAGTCCAACTGGAGAACCACAGGAGGAGGCGGAGGAGGAGGAGGGGGAGGTCTCAGGTGAACAGAGGGCTCAGGCTCTTAGAGCTCTGCTGCTCTCACGCAAGAGGAAACACCACGCCTCCGAGCATACAGGTATGTGTGGGAATTTCATGCTTGATGCTTTGCTGTATCAGTTGACACCAGTTAATTACAGCTTTCCCACATAGATAAGTGTTAAGTTGCATACTGCACATAAAACTTTCCTGAGACTACAGTCACATAGTTCTCACAGTCCGGTGTTGTTTTGGCTTGGAATTAAAAATGCAATTTTGATTGTAAATAATTGTTCACCCATGGTTAGCATTTCAAAATGCTGAACATTAAAAAGCAGCAACACACACCCACAAGGTTAAAAATGGAAAGTGTAAAATCACACATAGTAATAAGATTCCTCTGGTGTGTCAGTTTAAAAAATAGTTCAGCTGCCTTAGCAAGATGGGAAACCACTACAACATTGGCTAAAACCTGTGGGATATGTTCTTTTTAGGTGTTTGTAGAGCATTTAAGATGCAGCACCACAGCTTCACACCATTTGAAATCTGTTGTTAGATCTGCTGCTAAATTAAGGAATTAAGGACAGGTCATGGATTAAGATGATGTTTGTTTTTCTGTTTTGTTTTGTTTTAAGCTCCTGTGTCAGATTTCACCCCCGCTGAGGATACAGAAGGTACAGCTGGGAGGTGAGAAAAATCACCCTATGTTTTTGTTAAACAGTTAAGCCAAACCACAGCTGAGAAATGTCTATTTTTAACACTAAATCTCCTTAATTCGTAATCTATTTCTGCACACATCAGGTCCCAAGGTCCCAAGACTTCAGCTAAAAGAAGCAGAAGCAGAGTGTTGGACGATGATGAGGAGGATGGTATTGTACTCACATTGTTGGAAATCAATCTAGACACCAGTGTTTTAATATGTTTAAACTTTTAAAACTAAAGGTTCAAAGAGAGACAACGTTAAGTTGTTATTCCTTATATCACGCTAAATTTAACATCTGTGCCACAGCAGTGTGGGACCAGTAATGAGCCTCTGACAGCAGTGGAGTTTAATCATAACTGAACTGCAGTTATTGTCTATTTACAGAAGATGACTCCACCATTGCGATGGATATGGACGGTGATGCAGATTCAGACAGGGAGGATCCCTCTGCTCCTGTGAAGCGTAGACGGAAGATGGTCTTAATTGATGAAGAGGAAGATGAGGATTAGCGATGGCCTTTAATGGACTGTAAAAACTACGATCAGGGGAGACATAGAAGTCCCTCACTTATCTCTGAGGTGGACGCAGCTCTCTGGAGGGTCTGCAGTCCAGACAATGGAAATGCTATTAATGGAATACCAAACAGCCCAAAGGAATAGGCCCTTAGACCTGCCCCAATGTGTGCATAGATCCTATTAAACAATTTAATTTTGTTATCTCTTTGTAAGCAATTGATTGGTGCCTTTGTGAAGTTCTGGTAAATGAGTTCTGAGTGGTCTTCTCTTTTGTAAGTTCTTTTTCTCTATTGTCTGAGAAAGTTTTGTAACACAGGATTTCATTTATAACTCAACAATTTTATCTTAGATCTAAAAGTTGTTGAATGTGTACAAATACTTTTGTACTTGTTAGTCATTTCCACTTTTGACTTTGGATTTCACAGTAAAATACAGACCTAGTTAAAAATAATAAAAAAAAAAGAAAAAAAAAGCACTATTGTCAAAATAGTGGCTCACTGGGCGCTTTCGTTATCTCACTTTCTTTTGTCCTGCACTGCATCATTTTAAACACTAGAGGGCACTTGAATGTTGAATGGTCAGCTTAAATGATTACTGGAGCAATTAACTGGTATCTCTCATGTAGAATATCCCATTAGAGCTCTTGGATATGCTGTATACCACATTAAAATTGAGTTTTGAACAAAGCTTTTATCAGTGTTCCTCTGCAGTGAGTGAGGACAGGCTTGGGACGGATCACACCACAGTCTTACATTTGATGTGCACTACTGCAAAAATGACGTGAATAAATGTTTTTTTTTTGATGGAGCTTTCTTCAACACAGGGATCCTGTATCCTGTGTATGTCTGCAGTCGCTGCCTGTAGTTGTCCACGTTTTCCAGCTGTGTCGGCGGTGGTCTCTTGTCCTCACATCTGGACCACGTTAGTAACTTCCTGTCACAGCATCTGCTCTGCCCCCATCCCACAGAGCCAGAGGCAGACCTGACAGTCTTCAGATGATTGCTGTGAGTAAAGCATGTGTGCACAATGGTGTGTGGGTGCTGTTCACTATATAAACTATAGTGAACTTAATCAAAACTATATACTATATTAAAATGGTAATATAAACTTGAAAAATTTAATTCTGTAGCATTAAAGATTTCTACATATGTATGCGAAACTTGAGTAAAACTGAAAATGAAATTTCAATAATCTAATTTGCATTTTCACATACTAATGAAGTGTGGGTGTCCTATGACCATATGAAAATGGAAAAGCTGTCTGACATTTAGTTTTCAAAGTCGTACCCTGCTGTACATTGGACAATATTCAAATATGAATTCAAACTTGAAACTTAAATTACACTATAGCAACCTGATTTTCCATGAGGCTTGGATAGACTGTGTATTAAAAATACAGGGATGGAAGACTCAATTGTTTTGTAACCAGAAAATAAAAAGAAACGCCTGAGGGCTGTATTCCATACATGTGACTAACAGATGCATTATGCCAGTCATTGTGCAAAAGTAAATAGAAACCAGGCTTTCGTTAATGAAAAATGAAGACCTGATGTTTCATTTAAGAGCTAAAGAAAGTGACAGAAATCACCCTTGAGTGTTTGGACTGACATTTTCTTCGGCAGTTACATGCTTACACGCAAAACAACAGTTCAAACATAACGCTTAGGTTAAAACTTTTAGGTTTTTAGTTGAGAAGACAATCATTTAGTAGCTTTTCTGGAGTTTCCGATCTATCATATAACACATTTAAGATTAATCTGGACTTTTGAAACAGCAGTTAAAAAAGAAATCTTACCACAAGAAACTTGTCAATTGTTAGAAGGTTGAAGCAGGCCTCTTCAGTGATTCCCCTGTTGTAGGTTACCTTAGGGCACAGTCTAATTATTGGGTAAATTCTCAGGAAAATATATTTGTCTGTTCAGTTGTGTGGGCTGGAAAAATCCACCTGATTCATCTGTCACATGATAAATTTGACCATGAACTTGCCTGAGGTAGAACTGAACTTCATACTGCAACACAACAAGAGGAACATGTGGATATAAGGTAGTTGATCTGGGATTGTTTGAAATTTCTCTAAAGTTCAAGATGTTCTTTTGCCTTTGCTTCATTTCATTTTGTGTATTTGTGGATTACACTGAGGAGCTGTGATTCAGACTTTCGGGGGTTCACTGAAAAGGAGAGAACAGCATCTTTACTTAGCAGAACTTTTCCAGTTGAAGAATATGAAAAATGAGTCTGCCGCATGTCAACAATGACATCAGTTCTTCACCAGGACGAGCACAAGAAATTAAGAACGGTTCAGTTTCTCAGTTATTAAATCAACAGTTTATTTCCATCTCATCTGTATAGCCAAACACTTGTCTATTGCTAAATCTTCCTGGAAATGTGTTTTCATGATGTGCCAGTGAAATATCAAGTTAGCAGTACAAGGCACGACAAAGGAATAATTTACAATCTGTGCTCAGTGAGTCAAACCTGACTGAATAGATCGTAAAATGGTCTCCATATGTAAACTGTGAACTCCCTGATAGTGGTAAACACTGAGCACGTGGGTGTAGCTGTTGGAACGGTTACTGTTGTGGCCATACAGTCTACAGTCGTTATAAATAAATATGATCCTGTCCCTGGCACACCACACGCGGCCGCCTCCTCCTCCTCTGCGATACCCTGTGGAGGGGAATGAGGTGCTCCTACAGTCTCAGCACGCACAGCTGTAGCTCATTCCCTCTGAATGCACCAACACAATCCACAAGGTCCTGTGTCGCCAGTTGGTGCTCTCTGAACACAGCAAATTCCCAGTCCCCTTCAGTGTGTAACTGTACAAATGTAAAAAGGAGAAGAGAATGGGTTGGCCTGTGATTCAACTTGTCCACCTTCACATTCAGATTCTGGTCACTGTCTTTACATGTGAAGCTCATTACAGGCCTGGTGTAGACAGTTTTATATGTTAGTTTATGTCTTCACCATTTTGTAAAAACACCAGAATAAAGGGTTTGACTATTCTATTTAATGACTTTATTAATGGATAAAATATTTACTATTGCTTTATGGATCAGTTCCAAGTCATTAATTAGGACCACCTCTGGGTTGTCATGTAAAAATAGTCAAGGGTCGCAGGTTCCTCGTTTTCTTATAAGCCAACAGAAAAAGTTAGTAAGTTATTTCTAAATATAAATGGATTAATAATAATGACTTGGTTGTCTCTGTTTGTTTTTTGATATATGTGTATTGTACTGTATGTGTACCCAATACTCCCTAGAAAGCTGTTCTGTTGAGTGAATTATCCTGGAGAAATAAAGTAAACTGAATAGAAGTGGATCACTGTAAATTCAACAAACGTATTAATAAATGGCTTTTGGCTTAGAATAAATGGTTTTGGCTGCAGCACACAGAAGATAAGAAGTCATACAGTGTTTCAAGTGATTTACTTGTTGAACTAAAACATCTCCAAATACAAAAAAATGTCCAGCTGGAGGAGGCTAAATGCCAACCACAGGCAATCTGGCAGCCCAAAATATGTCCTTATTGGTTTAAGTGCTCTACAAAGCCTTAATAAATGTTTTGTTAATCAATAAAGCCATCAATTACAATTAACAAACCCTCTATAAAGGGTGCCTCATTAGAAAGGGGTGCTGTTAATGTTAACTAGCCTGTATACTGTGTTCTCGTATGTGATGATATTGGGGGGGAAATGTTTATGTAACTAATGTTACAAGGTTCTGTGTAACTGCACTGCTATCAGTTCATTATTATTTATTCTATGTCCAGCTGAGTGCAAAATAGTATCCCTCCTTTAATCCAATCAGTTTATTACCATTGCCAGATTAACCTGTTAGTGGGTCCCTGGGAAGAAAAAAAACTTACTGTGGGCTCCCACTGACCCCCCACCTGAATATGAATATTGCAGCCTCCAAGTTCCTATTAAGTCCTGTGCAACCAGGCCTCCTGTGCTGAAACAACACTTAACATGTCCTAGTTTGTAGTAATTTGATTAAACAGAACCGTATTTCAGAATATTGTAAGTACCATTCAGTTAATATTGACCCATCTTAGTTGATATTATGCTTTAGTGGTGCAATAATTTAACACATTTGTAACTAATCAAGCTGCCAAATCCAGTGGTGATAGATTAACCTTTGGCTTTTGGGGGACTTGGACAGTTGCCCATTTTCCCCAGTTGGAAATCCAGCCTTGATCTTATGATGTAATAATACTTCCTTAAACAAGGTTTTCTGTGACTTTAATGTCTTAACACTCAGAAAAAAGAAGAAGAAATTTCATGAAATAAACTTAACAACAAATGGGCTAGATTTTGACACAGGGTTTCTCTACTAAACCAGGGCCACAGGACGGAGGAGCTGTGAGAGCTCATATTCTACTTCATTGTACTCAATAAATAATGTAGAAAGAAACTATATATGAAGTAGACCTGGGGCTTTTGGGGGCCCCAGCCAGTTGTGCACTTTGCCCAGTGTACAAGGCAGCCTTGTTAAATAGAAGAGCTCAGGTAAAGCTAAACTAGTTCATCAGAGCTGGGGGCCTCATCTGTTGCTTTGCCCCCCTCACCCCTCCCCTCCCCTCCCTCCCTCCCTCCCGGCAGTTTTCCAACGGACCAACTGACGACGCTGGATGGAGGTTGAGAGGGGACTGCCTCGGAGCACCGGGGAAAGAGAGAGATCTCACGCTCACATTTTGATTAAACAGAACCGTATTTCAGAATATTGTAAGTACCAATAGTTAATATTGACCCATCTTAGTTGATATTATGCTTTAGTGGTGCAATAATTTAACACATTTGTAACTAATCAAGCTGCCAAATCCAGTGGTGATAGATTAACCTTTGGCTTTTGGGGGACTTGGACAGTTGCCCATTTCCCCAGTTGGAAATCCAGCCTTGATCTTTATGATGTAATAATACTTCTTAAACAAGGTTTTCTGTGACTTTAATGTC